TATGTAAATATAATTTTGCTTGAGTACCATTGCGATCACTTGCTAATCACATCTAGATTGACGCTTGAGAACACCCTTAGTCAACAAATAAAAGTTTATTCAGAAAAACTAATGCGATTTAACGAAGGCGAATAATTTTGCGGGCAATAATTTTTGTATAATTCACCTTATTGATTTATTTGATATTAGGATGCAGATATTTTACGAATTCTAAATTTCGATTGCATATTTTCTTTTCGGATAAATACTTTTGGCATTTATAATATGCCGAATTTTTCATATATATACCTTTTTTTTGCTCAAGCAATTTACAAGCTAAAAGAAAATAAAGGGTTATATTACCATAATCATTAAGAAAAAAATGACTTAAGGGTAAACATTTTTTTTTTTTTTATTAAATAGTTAATAACATTAATAAATCATTCGTTGGTCGGTAGAAATTCTTTATCGTTATGATATAAAAAACCGCCACAAAGTTGATAACAATAAATCATTCGTTGGTTGGTAGAAATTCTTTATCGTTATGATATAAAAAACCGCCACAAATTTGATAACCTAAATATTTACGGTCATCTATGCAAGTTGCGACTATTGTTTTTTCAGGTTTCAGATCACAACAAAAGTATTTATAGTACATTGAAGCAAATTTATCAAGATTGAATTTTTTATAACTATAGAAAAAACTAATCATCTCCAAGCCAATTCAAATTGTATGCCCTCCAGCAACCAGTTGGAAAATCAAGATCGATCTCCTTCATCATATTTAATACTGTGAGACATCCAATTGTATTTAGTAATGAATTAATGAGTAAAGTGCCCATAGTACCGGATATAATCCCGCAACTTTTCTGATAGACACTTCCATCAGGAAAAAGAGCCTTACTCCTTATTGTGTTTTCAACGACATAATTAAATTCTTTACAATCGGGATTCGACATTATCATGAACTCACGAATAATATCCTCATGAGCCCAAGTGCTTCGATAAGAATCCCAACCTGAAATATCAGTATTATAAAATACTCATCAGGATGTGATATGCAGACAAGGTAAACTTCCTGGTCCATTAATTCACATATTACGAAAAAAATCCTTCTTATAGATTTGATTATAAAAAAGGATTATAAATCAGGATTCTGACAAAAAGGTAGAAGCAAACACCAACCAAATTGGTCGTACTTTTTTCTTCAAACGAGATGAAAGATGTCCACGCATTGCGAAGATTACATAGTCTCATCCTCGAGATTCTTATAATATTGATCAAAGATAGTTTTCTCGCATTCTCCTTTCTTTCGTCATTCACCAAATTTCTTTAATGAAACATAACCAGCAGAAGTGTTTTTAGGTATCCGATTCTATGCTTCACCAATTGAGTAAGGCTTAACTTTATCAAATTTATCAAAAATGAATCTCTTGGCCTTTTCATATGTTTCGTTAAAATATTTATCCTTTCGTGGATTGGATGGGTAAAGATATTGCAGGAGGGAGAAATACATTCTCCCAGGTTCTGGAGTTTTATTTGAATCACAACATTCATAATAAAACTTTTGGTCAAATTCTTTAAATGCATGTTTAATGTACATATCTCTATAATTTCGACCTTCACTACAAGTTATTGTATGGGACATCTCTGCCTAGATAGCGCCAATTGCTTGAATGGTCAACTAAATCCATAAACTCTTCAAGCTCAATCTTCTTATTCTGATAGTCTGGATGGTTATGTAACACTATCAGAATAAGAAGATTAAGCTTGAAGAATTTATGAATTTATTTGTCCATTTAAGCAATTGCGCTATCTACAGTAGGCAGAGATGTAGTGACTAGTGATTGAACCCGTCAAAAAAATGCCACCCGGGTAGAAACTGAGTGGGTTAAAAAAAGCAACCCGTCGGGTGAACTCATGAGTCACCCGGGTGAAAATAGATACCCCTGTTATTACGCATAACTGTATATACAAATATATTTCTAAGCAATAGTTATATCCTTGGCAGTTTGTTTTAAAAATCTGGCATTAAAAATAAAATAGTAATTTTTTTTGTATCGGGTAGAAATTTACTAAGAATTCATTGTTTATTATGCTTGATATGTAATAGTAATTCTTGAGCGTCTTTTATCAATGGTAAATTTTTGAATGGTTTGTATCTCAGTGAAATGGTAACGTTTAAAAATTTACCTCCGACCC